CCACAAAAACCTATAACAAAAAGATATATTTATTACACTATTAACATATACCCGGGCATAACTTAATAAGTAATAATTGTATAATAATAATTATTATTTATCTAAAATTAATTAAAGATACCTTAATTATTAATTAATAAGTCTTAACTTGGCCCTAAGGGCATGTTAGACAAACTCATAAAAATTTATGACAAAAAGATATATTTATTACACTACTAACATATACCCTAAGGGCATAATTTAATAAATAATAATTGTATAATTATTATTATTTTTTATCTTAAAAATAATAAAGTTAACTTTTGTTTTAATTGTATGTCAGTTATTTATTTATTTGTTTTAAAATTAAAATCAAAACTTATTTTTTTAATTTAAAATTTCACATCTTAAAAAAATAATTATTGACTAATAATTGTTTCTTATTCTCTGCTCTTCGTGCACAAATATATAAAACCCGTTAAAAAAATCCATAGTTTATTTCTCTTACTCATCTGCTTTAAAATCTAAATTCAGTTTTTCTAACCTATGTTCTTGGAGCACATGTTAAGATGTGTAATTAATGCACTACAATTAATTTGTATGAAGAATGTAAATGTTGATTTCAAATTAGTTAGTTAACCAATTAAAATTATTTACATGTCAATAGTATTAAAATAAATTGTAACTTTTATAATTTTTTTTATATAAATTAAGACATAGGTTAAGATATGTAATTAATGCACTACAATTAATTTGTCTGAAAAATGCAAGTGTTGACTTTAAATTAATCAATTAACTAACTAAAATCATTCATGTGTCAATGATGTTAAAATAAATGTCAACTTTTACAATTTTTTTTATGTAAATTAATTACTAAAAAATATATTTATTACACCTAAAGACACAAATTAGATGATCCCATCTAAATTTTTTTTTTTTTTGTTTTCTCCACCACTTGGAAAAAAACTATTCCTAATTGTAAAATAGATCAAAATCTCTTTCTTTGTAAAATGGGCCTGAAATGCATAGATCTAAGGAAATGGACAAATTATTTTACTGGTTTCATTCTGATCTTTTTTTGCCAAAATATTTACAATGATTCTACCAAAAATTTAAAATCTATACAGTTGAACATTAAAAAAAAAAAAAGAAAAAAAGAAAAAAGAAGAGCAATGTAGATTGATTTTGATCTCTTACCGTACGAGACTGATTTCAATTGGGAAAACCATTAATTGGGGAGCAGAAGAGAAAAAACCAATAGGGGTGTTTTATATCCGTATTTTAAATTTGGAAAAAAATCAGGATTACATGATCCAAAATAAATCCCCAACTAGTAGAGAATTTTTAAGAGACTTGCATTTAAATTATTGTTAGGATCTTTGATAAGTTAGGATTTGTTAGGATCTCTGGTGAGTTAGGATCTCGGTGTAGAGGGTTTTAAAAACCTTTGAAGAAATAGCCAGGGAGATGGAAAAAAAAAAAAACTCTCTTTTTAATCCTAATG